AAAAAAAAAAAAAAAGAATGTATGTTAGTGAATGAGACCCTGCCTCCCATTTGGCAGCCAGGGTCAACACAGGGTGCTGGTTTGGATTGGCTGATGTGTGTGGGAGGAGGGCAGGCTGCTGTGAGTGTGGGGAGTGGGGCTTGGTGTGCTGGCTCTGCGCATGCGTGAGGAGAGTGAGTAGGCTGGGGAGTGAGCTCAACTTTGTGTGGGCTTTTGCTAGGCTGCTTTAGTGGGACTCAAGTAGAAAGATGGCCAAAATGACCCTCCTCCTTGGCTTTGATACAGGAGAACAATGGCCAGCAGAGTCAAGTGGCAGTGGATACACCCTCAGACCATGGGGTCTATCCTTTCCAGTTCAACAAGTAACAGTGGGTAAGAGGCATGTGCTATGGGGTGGAGGGTACTGGGTGGGCAGACAGCAGCTGAGCCCTGCCTGAAGTCAGGTTCTCACGCTTTTCCTGCCCCTGCTTCATCCTGGCTGGCTTGAGCCTTCCTTAGGACTCCCCTCCCTGTTTTTGTTGGATAGAAATGAATTCTTGGAGATATTGATACTCTCAGACTCCACAGGGTTAACCAGGAATACAGACCATGTGTAAGCCCTGCCAAGGACTAGCACTTAGCCTTCAATTTTCATAGGCCTATGCCTGGAAAAAGATATCATCTACCCTCCTGCCCTCTGCTATGTCTCCATTGCTGATGGCACCTTGGGGAAACATTGCTTTGTGTATGTGGTGCTCTCAAAGAGATCAAAATTCTTTTTTTCTTTTGCAAAGACAGTTTTTTGATTTAGTTTTTTTTTTTTTTGAGACAGAGCCTCAAGCTGTCCCCCTGGGTTGAGTGCTGTGGCATCACAGCTCACAGCAACCTCCAACTCCTGGGCTCAAGCAACTCTCCTGCCTTCACCTCCCAAGTAGCTGGGACCACAGGCGCCCACCACAATGCCTGGCTATTTTTTGGTTGCAGCCGTCATTGTTGTTTGATGGGGCCGGACTGGGTTCAAACCTGCCACCTTAAATGTATGTGGCTGGTACCTTAGCTGCTTGACCTACAGGCGCCGAGCCAAGTTTTTTGATTTAACTGCAGTGCATTCTTTCTGTACCCCAAAGAGACATTCACTGGAGCTTCTTCTTCTT